TGGTATTCTGCATTCCTGTATCAGTTATGCAGAATACCACCAGCTATACATTTTACATAAAGTCAGCAATACTGCCACACCAATGAGAGGCTGAGGAAAGGGGGATTATAAAAAAAAATGAAGGAACGCTAAACTGTAAATTAGCGATTTATGTTATAAATGGTTTTTGCGCTGTGTTGGTGTTTGTGTTGTGATAAAATTATACAGGCGTATTTTTAATTACAACACAAGGTATTACAACGCACGGCAATGCGTCACAAAGCTTAGCCATGCGCTGCCACAGTTAAATTAATGTTTTTTTACGATAGAAAAAAATCATGCACTGCGATGTGTTCTAACAATGCACTGCAGTGCATGTGCCTGGCGTACACCACAATATGGTGCACGTGTATGTTATGTGTGTGTGGGGGGGTTGCGCTTTCTTTTTATTTACACATTTTTTATTTATTTTTTAATTATTATTTATTATTAATGTACTGTTGGGGGGCTTTGGGGAAATATTAGGGGTCTAAACAGACCCCTGACATTTCCCTTTTGAAATAGAAAAAGGCATTGAGGACACAGAGTCCTCAATGTCTTTTTCTGCAGCCCAAGCACTCAATTAATGGGAAGCACTCAGTACAGAGGCTTCCCATTCATTCACAAACTGCTGATAGTAAGATGTTTACTATCAAGCAGATTCTCAATGGGGAAAAGCCTCTGTACTGAGTGCTTCTCCCCATTGAGAAATTCATGAATGATCAGGAGGTGATGCCGCCCCTCTGCTCCCTGCCGCCCCAAGGAAGGGCCTCAGTGGCCTTGTGAGAAATCTGTCCCTGCAGCCAGGTCGCCTTCTTGCCCTCGGCCTGTGATTGTACAATAAATGAGCAGAAGCAGTCTGATGAGCCCATCCCTCTCCTTCTGTCAGCATGTTTCTTGCCATCAATTATGCACAGCAAAATACCTGGCTGGCTCTTAGTTCTGCCCCTCTTTCTCCCAGTTTCATAACTGCTCATACCAAATCAAATCTAGGTGCTTGCATTAGTTGCATTAGTTGCATTTACAAATGATTTTAATATATACATACAGTAACTGTATTACTATGTATTTTTTATCTGTCTTGAGTTCAGTCTTTATAGAAATAGTAATGATAACGTAATGCTTAATCCTGTTCTCTAACTATTAAGCCACACAATGCCAAAGAGAAAAGATGACATGCTATGATATCTTACAATGTACATTAATTATGACTCAAGAGTAATTAACTTTACCCGGTTAGTAGATGATTAACCCAGTTAGATGAGATGATTAGCTCATCCTCTGGGAGAAAATTAAAAGACATAGTGCATTTGCTCCTTCAGAATAATTTTTTTATAAACTCAGCCATGTGTATATATGTGAATGAAATATCTCTTCTCAATTAGCAAGACCACAGTAAAGGCATTGCTAATGAGAAATAAACCTGTACTATTCCAGCAATTGATTGTTACTCCAGGAGAGCAGAAATCCATCTTCCCATGTAAGGTAATTGTTGGTGCATCTAATCAAGCATTCTTCATTGCATTACTGTAAGCCTATCTTGCCTAAATTTAGTTTACATATATCACTGAGCCTATTTAACGTGACCCTGTTACCACAGAGCAAATAGTCAAATAGAAGCACTTTGTAAAAGAAGACTTTTAACACGTATCTTTCTGGTGGTTGGTGTGTTCAATTTTCCCTTTCTTGAAGAGCTCTGCTTGCCAGTGGGATAGCGAGTCCCCAGCTAATTACGATAGTTCCTCCCACTGATCTCCACTTCACTACTGTGTCCTGTAGTGACAAAGTGGCTGGTGAGAGAAACCACAAAGCACTGCTGACACATCGGAAGTGTCAGCAGTGGCACTCAATGCTTTTTAAGACATTGAGGATTTAACACATCACCTGTAGGAAAGGTAAGTATTACTATCAGGGCTGCCATCAGGGGGGGTACGGCCGATACTCATGTAAGGGGCCCGGGCAGCCTGGGGGGCCCGCACGGGACCCTTACATGAGTATCGGCCGATGGTGACAGGCGAGGAGGTGGCCGGGACCCCGCAGCACTGGAGGAGGCCTGGCTCTAGCAGCGCCGGGCCCCTGCATTGCCGATCCAGCGGCATCGGAGCAGGCTGGGGCCCCATCGGTGCCGCTGCTCTTCTGATCTCGGACCACCCGGAAATGACATCACATCACTTCCGGCCAGTCAAGCGGCAGAGGAAGCCAGGTCACCAGCCCACCTGGGACCCCTGCAGAGCCCACCATAGAGAGTATCAGATGGGCTGTGCAGCATCTATGGTGGGATCTGCAGGTTCTCAGGTGGGCCCTGCGTCCAGCGGGTCACTAAACCCAGAGTTAGAGCCTAAAGCCGTGTAAGGGGCCCCAAAATTTCTGATGGCTGCCCTGATTACTATCATTACATTAAAGGTAATAGGGTTGCTTTAAGAGCAAAGAACACTAGTGTTCTGTAATAAACAGTATACCAGTCAGTTACAAAATTATATTTCAGCAGCTGGCAGTGGAACGATGTTTTCCTAACTTTTTACAATAGATGTTTATAAGCTTTGGTTCCTCATATGTAGTTCGCAATGACAATTTTAAGTGGATGGCATTAAAGATGAAGTTTATTCTGCCTATATTTTGCATACCCTGGTTCCCCATTTTTCCGCTCATCAACTTGTTAATGAAAATCTTAAATACAACCTTTCTATTTTTATTGCATCCCTTATTTTAGACCCAGCGATGCCATTACTAGATATCTATCCTTAGGGGTGTGTCTAGCTTTTTTGTCGCCTGAGGCGGGTTGGGTAAGGAGGGCTGCTGGTGGTGTACGTTATGCTCATCTATGGGGATCCTTTGCATCATCTCCCTGTCAAGCTCTGGCTCCAGCTTTGGCCGGCTTCTGGCCCTGTTCCTGGCAACCTGTGACATCACAGGTTGCCAGGAGCACGGCAGGACGCCAGCCAAAGCATCCCACTCAGCTCCTAGCAACCAGCGCTGTCATACGGCGCCAGAAGCTGGGTAGGATGCCGGTCAGAGCATCCCAGGCTTCGAAGAGCTGGAAGGGGAGATGTTTATGGCCATTTCGTATCTTTCTGCTTGGCTCTGAGCAACCTGAGACGCTTTGACTGGAAAGGGTCTGCCTGCTGCCACTCCACATGACCCAAAGAGATGCTGCCTGAGGCAACAGCCTCATGCTCCCTCATAATAGAGACAGCCCTGTCTGTTTTTCTTTATACAATGAAGGCGTATCATGGTTGGTGGGAGTGACCAGCAGGGTGCTGTACATAGCTTCCTGTAAATATTAGAGCACCCTGCCTCTGTACTCCTCTAATCCTTAGTCCTTAGCCCTGATGCAAGCGGTGGGATGGACCTTGGGATGATTAATGCAAATATGAAAATTCTTTGATAGGTGAATGTCAGTCTAGAAGAGTGGGCATTCCTAGGAAGACTGTATTTGCATGCAGGCTGCCCTAGGTAATGTCCACATGTGATGCTGAGCCTGCATGATTGAAAGAACTAAAATCCAATGAATGAAAGGAGCGGGCCAGAGACTGTCAGACTGGGGAGAAAGGCTATTTGATGCTGGACATTCTCCAGCCAGGAAATAAAGCAGACTCTATCTGGCTTGCTGCAGCTTTTATTCCACACTGTAGTAGATCACAGTGTGCAGTGAAATCATAGAAAGCTATTTCAGTACAGGAGAGGAGCTGAGAGAACTGTGCAAGGTGAAGATTAGGCTGGGGTTCAGCTTTAAAAAAAAATAGTTTCAGCAGAGTGGGCAAGAATTAGGTGCTTTGTGGAAATGTTCATACTGGTGTTTGTTCCAATTACATCTCATTTCCTGTCCTAGTTACCACAGGAAGTAGGAGGAATATTTTCATTGCAGTTACATACAGTAAAAAAAAAAAACGACAGGTCTTAAACTGGCCATACACCTAATGATTTTCTATGGTCAGATGGAAAAAGTGCAACAGATTCCTCCATCTACGCTAAACTGTGTGGATGGAGGAATCTCCCACTGGGCCAAACTTCAGTATCTTGCTAGTCGGTCCCGCTGGCTGTCAAAATACCTGAACAATCTGATTGGATGCAGGCATTGTTCAGGTGTTTTGAGAGCCACCAGGACTGACTAGCAAGATACTGAAGCTTGGCCCACAGTTTAGCGTAGATGGAGGAATCTGTTGCACTTTTACCATCTGACCATAGAAAATCTGCAGAAAATCTATAGGTGTATGGCCAGCTTTACTCCTTACCTGCTTACTAGCCAAAAGGTAATTTACTGCCATCTGTGTCCCCTTTAGGGCCTGTTCACACGAGGTCCGTTTTGTGTGCTGCACTCAAAATGCATCCCAATGTATCCCTATGTGTTTTATGGGCTACAGTTCTCACGTGCGCAGTCCGTTCAGGTTACGACAGAAAAATACTGCATGTCACATTTTGTACGGTCAGGAAACGGTGCGGAAACGGTCAGGAAACGCAAACGCGTCCAAAACGCATCAAAAACGCACTGCAGCTAACATACTAACAGCCCCACTCCAGCAAAAATTGTTTTTTTTTTTTTTACTGGAACGCATCAAAAACACGACCAAAACGTGGCAAAAACGTGGCAAAAACGCACTGCATCAGTCTGCAGATCCGCACCTGATCAGGACCTGATCTCATGTGAACAGGCCCTAAGGAGCACACAGCAAGTGACAGGTGATCTCCTCAGCTGGGGCAAACTAATGTTTACCAGAGTTTCAAATATTTACCACTATTTTGACTGGAGTTCCACTTTTAGCTTTTCAGCATTTTCTGAGGTAACCTCATGCAGATTGGGGGGAAAGGGTACAAACTGAGGCTAGGCCGGTGGGACAATTGTATTGCATCAAATATTAAGTTCAGTGTGATAAATATAATTCTATGTTCTATGTGTACTCCTGCTATATACCGCTTTGACAGAGACAGCTACATTGTGGGCAACAAAAACACTCATATACGGTATAATATTCTTTATTTTACAGATGTATTTCAATGCAACATTGACAGATTCATCAAAGTTACTGAAACCCCTTCTGGTGTTCTCCTTTATAATATGTGGAATTATATGTGGCCTCACCCGTATAACTCAGTACAAGAATCACCCAATAGATGTTTACTGTGGCTTCCTCTTGGGAGGTGGAATAGCCATTTATTTGGTAAGTTGAATTGGCCATATAATACACAGTCATTTTGTGTGTTCCCATCCCATCAGCCACATGTAAAGGGTTTATATGTTATTTATAGACATGTGCGATTCGTTTCGTTCCGAATCGTAATTCGGACGAATTTTTGGAAATTCGGACATTCGGATGTATCCGAATTCCGAATTACAGACATAACGAATGCAAACGAATCCGAATTTCCATTTCCGAAATTCGGTAGCGTTAGTACGAACGTTCGTTTCGTTTTCTGTTCTTATTCGTTTCTTATTCGTTTCGTTCGTTGGAGCAAAGTGACATTAGAGAAGGAGAAAAATATTTTTTCCCCCTCAAATGTCACTTTTGCTGCAAACGAACGAAACGAATAAGAAACTAATAAGAACAGAAAACGAACCGAACGTTCGTACTAACGCTACCGAATTTCGTCCGAATCCGAATTCCGAATCCGAATTGACTTTCACACCCGAATCCTGAAAAACAAAATAACACAAATCCGAATTTAAAATGAAACGAAACTAAACGAATTTTTTGGCAGTGCACATGTCTAGTTATTTATCAGTCACGTGTACAGGGTTTAATGTGTCATGTATTAGCCACATGTACAAGATTTTATGTGTTGTGTATATCAGCCACATGTACAGGCTTTTATGTGTCAATTATTCACCATGTGTATAGGCTTGTATGTGTAATTTATCAGCCATGTGTACAGGATTGTATATGTCATTTATCAGCCACATGTACAGACTTTAATGTGTCATTTATCAGATCAGCTACATGCATAGCATTCAATGTATCATTTATCAGCCACATATACAAGCTTTTATGCGACCTTTATCAATCACATTTACAGGTTTTAATGTTTAATTTATTAGTCACATATTCAGGCTTTGTGTCATTCATCAGCTACATGTAAAGGCTTTTACGTGTCATTTATCAGCCACATGTACAGGTTTTCATGTGTCATTCATCAGCCCTGTGTTTAGGCTTTTACGTGTGATTTATCAGCCACATCTACAGGTGTTCATGTGTTATTTATTAGCCACATGGATTGGGGGCACTTCTGAATCCTGGGCATGTGTATACATTACCTTCAACTATTTCATTTGTTTATTTTTTTTAATTGACTGTAAATGGATTGGAACCTTGGATCAGGTTTTTGTGTTGCTGTCTGTATACCTGTTGGGGAGATTTAGCCTCTCTATTTGTCCCAGTGACCATTGTCATCAGGACTAAAGGTGAAAGGAACATTTTGAGTTGCCACTTTATGAGAAATAGAGGGGAAATCTTCCAATGGGGACACTTGTTCCTATGACAACTGTCTAAGAGAAGATTTCCTTTACTTTGGAAGCTCTCCTTAATCTTTCTGTTGTGCTTTGAGACCGTAAGTTAAGGACAGTCTTTCTAATGAGACATCAAAAAAACAAAAAAAGTTAACATAGGTCAACTTCGGTTGACATAGCTTTTAACCATTTCATAATGAAAACAAAAGGGGCTTTAGATATACTTGAAAAAACAGCTATTTTGGAAAATATGATTTCCAACTGACTATACTCAGTACCTACTGTATAAAGGTAATATTCAAGATATGTATTTTATTTTTTTAATGCAATTCATTTCATTTCCCACTACATTTAGGTGCACACCTGCTGTCCAGAAAAAAAGTGATAGGTGATGGCATTTAGGCAATCCATTATACCGCAGGGGTGCATTCGTTTATCTGCATTAAACTTCCTTTTAAGATGAATACATTGTTTCTGAAATCAGCTTAGTCTTTGATTAATGTAAACACCTACATGCTACTATTATAATTAGCTTATAATTAGTCTTTTTAATGTCTCACAGCCTGTTTAATGTTATCATGCACTCCCTATCTCTGCACGCTCCTGCTGCAGCCTGCCGGCATAATTGTTCTGCCGTTGATCAGTCTCTCTCACTCCCATATGAAGAGGAGCTTTAGTTATCCATAAATACCAGCCATCCTGACACATCACAGATCACATTGCAGGAATAAGCTGAGAGGACTAAGAGCAGATCAGCAGCACCCAGCAGATAACCAGATATGAGCACCCCATGCATAGGTGAATAGTCTATGCATAGCCACAGCTGCACACACATCCTGCTCATTTCAGTGCAGATTATGGTAGTTCTTTATCTCATTGAAGTCTGAGAGACTGACCTGTGGTGGTAGAATTCTGTCAACAGGCTACAGCAGGTGTGTGCAAAAATGGAGACTGTGGGGGTGATTTACTAACCGAAACACACGCACGCACTAGGTGCGTGTGATTTTTACACAGCAAAACGTATTTATCAACCAAAAAGTCTCTAAAAGCATATTTCCACTAATGCCATATATGGAAAAATCATGCACATGATGCATATATAATACTGCTTCACAGTTTAGACAAAAATGGTTAGCTCATGCATTTACATTCCTGCATTCATCAACGCAAGCAACACAACATAGAGCTAATTTACACAACATCACCTTGCAAATTCATGCAGGGCTTTGCACAACACACCTGCTGGGTGTGCACACACTACAAAGGTGTTTAGATTCCACCCATAGATCATGCTGGGAGGGAACACACTACAGAGGTGTATACATGTTCGTGGTGTGTTTATAAGGTTAGTAAATCAACCCCTGTATCATAAAACTCAACTGACTGTAAAAAGACAGTAAAAAACAGGTATTATAAGTAGGACTGTATTTACAATAATGATATTCATGGGCCAGTGCCTAGGGCAGCCTGGTTAGTGGTGGCAGCACCACGCTTAAGTTTTTTTGTTTCTCTTATGCCGCTAACCATTAGTGGCCTAATTTATCAGGAGAGCTGAAGGAGGTACGGGGACAGTTAAGAGAAATCACAAGGCTCTTTCAAGTTTAGGACACACAAAAAAAATGTCTATTCTCTTCTATGGAGGTCTGCGTAGTTCAGAAATAACTCTGGATATAAAACAGAAAGCACGATTCCTCCAAAAGCACATCCTTGCATTTGTTTTTAAAAACGAATAAACCCCCAAAAATGTAAATGTTTTTAAAATAATTGCATTACATAGGGGTAGAGCTTGTACAAAAGGACATAATCATTGTGGTGTGCCTAGAGTAGTGTGATGTATAAATGCAGCCCTGATTACAAACTAATTATAATAATACCATGCAGATATTTGACTTCATCTAAGGCAGTGCTGATTTTTATCTTTAAAGGAAGTTTAAGCCATGCAAATAAAAGAAAACCACACATCAATCTAATGATTTGCCTGTCACTTGATATGCACCTAATTGTTTAGAAAAATACAAATAAGGGAATTAAACCACCATTATAGGCACTGGTTAAGTACACTTTTTTCATGACAGCTGTCCCTTAAGAGGTTACTCCACTCAACAGATTGGGATAGGTAATTTAATGTAAATGCCACTCACCACAAACAATCACCTGCCATTAAGTCCTGTTCCAACTACTTTCAAACCCCAATGTCTTTGAAAAGGTCATCTGATCTAATCCAGAGGGTCTGTGTGTCAGATGTAAAAACAATGTTTGATGGTCGTATGGTTGTTGATGGAAGAGTTAGAGGCCTGGCTTTTGAGGCTACTCAGTTGTCCTTTTGCAACAAGTCTCTATGTCATTATTTTTATTTGTACACATTTTTATATTCTAGGGCCTTTATGCTGTTGGAAACTTTCAGCCCAGTGAAGACAACATCCCACAGAAGCCTCCTCCACCACTCAGAGAGCCATTAAGGTCTTTAACAGACATTAGCCAAGACACAAGTAGGATACTACCAGGAAAAAATGGCAGCAGCTGTGATGGTATTTCAACTCACCCCTCTGAAAATATCTTGAACAGAAACAATAGAGAATCAGGCTCGCTAACCAATATAAAAAGAGCAAGTACTGATGTAGAAGTAATAACCCCTCGAAGCCCCATGGGCAAAGAGAACATGGTCACTTTTAGCAATACTCTACCTAGAGTACATACGCCTTCATTTGAAGATCCAGCTAGGAGGAATGCCACAATCCATGCTTCAATGGATTCAGCGCGGTCAAAGCAACTTCTTTCTCAGTGGAAGACTAAAAATGAATGTCGTAAACTGTCTTTGCAGGTAATTGAGACAGAGGCTGGTCTCTCTCCACAAAGAATTATAGAAATGAGGTCAAGCTCTGAGCCTGTAAGAGTTGGTGTCAATGGAGACCATATTGGCCCGGGAAACCCATATATTAAATTACAGCCTGGTAGTATTCCGGGCTGTAACAACACAGGTATTCCCGGTGGCCCCAGAGTTTCTATACAGTCACGTCCTGGGTCCTCTCAATTAGTACATATCCCAGAGGAAACCCATGAGAATATCATAACCACTTCACCCAAATGCAGCTCTGCTAGATCAAAGTGGCTGAAAGTGGCAGAGAAAAGTGTTGTATGTAGAAGTAACAGTCAACCAAGGATTATGCAGGTCATAGCTATGTCCAAACAACAAGGGATGCTGCAGGGTAGTTCAGATGGAAGTACAGTTAGTTGCACTGGATCCATCAGATACAAGGCCCTGACAGAACATGAGCCAACAAACATTGTACGGATTGAGGCCCATCCTGAAAACAACAGGCCGATTATTCAGATGCCGTTAGAAGGAGAAGGCAGCGGATCCTGGAAATGGAAAGCTCCTGAGAAAGGAACGCTGCGTCAAGCTTATGAGCTGAATGACCTCAACAGAGACTCAGAAAGCTGTGAGTCATTAAAAGACACTTTTGGAACTACTGAAAGAAAACGAAGCAACATTGATAATGACCACCTCCTTCATGGAATAACCACAATACGGGTGACACCAGTAGAGGGCAGTGAAATTGGCTCAGAGACTGTATCTATTTCATCAAGCCGTGACTCTACTCTAAGAAGAAAGGGTAACATCATCTTAATCCCAGAGAGGAGTAACAGTCCAGAAAGCACTCGAAATATCTTCTACAAAGGAACATCACCAACGCGTACCTACAAAGAGTGAAAACAACATTATGTTTCCATTGGTTTCTACCAGAAACTGTTCTACTTTTATACAGCTTGTGCTCTTATTAGTTTGGGGATAAAACAGAAAATGACCTTAAATGTGCCAAAATCAGACATGATCAGATGGTTTGCAGTTTTACTTTACCGTATGGAAAATAGAACATTACCACCTTGTGCAGAATGGGACTTAAAAAAAAAAGCACAATGCGAAGAATTCTAACCAACGTGAATAACACAAAAAAGGCATCATACAATCAGTACGCAAAAGTGACTGAAAGGAGTAAAGGGTTAGGAACAAAACATATGGAACAAAGAAACTTAGACACTTTATTTAATGAATGTGCCAACTCCGACATTTTCTCCTCCTTAATCAATGAAATTATGGGTTCTACCACAAAAAAATAGGAAAGATTTGTTTAATGTAAAATACTGACATATGCAGATTATGCACACGTCAAGAGGTGATGCTTGGTCCAAATGTAGACGACATATCTGCACAAGCACATAATACTTTATGATGTAGTTATTTTAACAGCCCAGTTGCTTCTGCTAGGAGGACAGTCAATGCCCTTGTACAGAATATGACATTCAGCTCTGTTATTGTGGAATAATTGCACTTGACTTGCCAGAATTTAATGCAGATCTGTCCTCACGGTTTACTTTGACAAAGTGTGGGTGTAATTCACTTACAATTATATAACTGTTTAATTTTGTTAGTACTTCTGTAATTTGCTAATTAATTTGTTCTAACTAAAAGTGCAGATTGTACTAAAGAAAAGGTGCTCAAGCGGTAGGGACATCCATGCTTTGTGGGTGTCTTGCCCACCTGTCCACGATTGTTCTTTTTTCATAATTCCATTAACACTGAACAGGGTTTTTATGTGTGTCAGAAGTAGATAAGGCTACAGGTCTATTGGGTAATAAAAATGATTATGTACAACACTGCCGGACCAAAAAAAGGAATATGAAGATGTGATTTTATTTTCCAAACAAAGTTATTATTGAGATATACGGCATGGTATAAAGAAAATGGTTGCACAGCTATTATAATCAGAGGATTATAGGAAATATACAGAAGTTTAAATGAAGAGTAGTTTGTAATGCATAGTATATAATGAGATTGAAGCAACTTTATAGAATGTCTATCTGAGTTTAGTGGTTTGGATCATATTTAGATCCCAATGGAAATTCAGAAGTAATATGCTTTTACAGAGAGAAGTATTTTATCAAATAGGATTTGCATTTTTTTAAATCTTTGTTTGTGTTTCAATCGACTTGTTACATTTATATTTTGGATGCCTCTTTAAAAGGCATCTTTGGCACTTAACATTAAAAAAAAATATTACTTTACTGATGTCATAGTTGGAGATATATAACCAGCAAACCTGTGCCAAAGGAGTGTGATTTGTTCAACACACTTTTCATTTTCTTATCACCTAGTATTGCGTATACAGTGGCTTTTTACAGGCTCAATTAGTAGAGCTGAGATACATTTAAGAACTAAAAAAAAAATTATTTCAGTAAATGAAAATAACCAGTATTTCTATTTCTTTTACAAAAATTACCTCTACTCAGTCCTCCGTCACATTTACAAGAGCCACAAGTGTGGTTGTGGCAAACAAAAAAATCTTCATGGTCTCTAAGAGATGGAAAACCCATCCCTAAATCACTATGATGGTGGCACTGCCTGTCTTTTTTTGCCAGTAACTGAAAAGGTTTAGATGGTCAAATATAAATAGATCCACAGTAAGTAGCACAACCATTAAGCTTCCCACTGGAAATGCTATTTGGCTGTCAGAGACCATTTAAGACTTGCCTTACAATGGACTGCAAAGGCAGTAGACCATTTTCCGTTACATTTTTTTTTTCTAGATAAAAAGATTTAAGGTCTCTCCCTTTTACTGCAGCAATCAACTGAAAGTGTAAACTCATAATCTATTTTTCCATCTGTTTGGCACTGTGTCTTCCTGTATACAGATTTCTTAAGCAAATCATTTTTGCAAATCTATTGCAAAGTTTCCTTACCTAGGGATCCTGATAGATATGTGGTAGTGCTGGACCAGTAGGAGTTGAAATTGGTTTTGGTATCATTCTGAAAAAATTGGGAATGTACTCCTTAAAGGAGGTAACCCATTATAACAGTATGTGTGTAGTATATGGACCTGGTTATGGTCCAAGGCTGCTGCCAGGCCTTACTGCAAATGGCTCTCACTGGCACTCAGTGGTCATCCAGTCCTAATTCAGGCTACAAAATACAATTTTTTCTGAACTTACTACTTACTATTGCGCAAGCTCAGAGGAAGGCGGCGTCTAATTCATCCTATACGCTTTGGCTGTATCTGGAATTTCTATTCAAATAAACAACCTACACAAACCTTCAAGTGAGATGAACATGTTTTAAGAGGCGCTCCTAACCACACATCCAGGATACCTAGAGCTCCGGACAGCAAGAGCACTTTCTGTTGCAGGCTGCCCTCATTAAGTCACTGCCTCTCAATTAGCAGAAGTATTTTTAGTGTGCCATTTACATTCCTTCAGGTGGACAACGAGCTGCCTATCTGATAGATATGATACGTAGCCCAGTGACCAAGGCATACAAGGCAATTTGACAAAGTGGCTAATAATTGAGAGGTATTGGTTTAGCATCATTAGCCTGCAACAGGAAGTGTTGTTACTGGCAGGATCTTCAGGTAAGAAGCTTTGCAATAGATTCACTAAAAAATATTTCCTTAGGAAAACTGTATATAGTGAGATATGATGATAACCATACTGAAAAATAGATGTAGGGTTTACATACACTTTAAAATGCTAGCTACCTTATAATAATAGTTATTAATAATAATTTGTTCAGGTGTATGGGCAGAAATACCCATGTTTATACACTGAGAAATATTGGCATTGTATATTTAACTTCGATGTGTAGTCTTTTGTCATACAGTTTAGCTATTTAAGGCTGAAAAAGGTCACAACTAGCAATATTATTCCATCAAATTGTTGTTGAAAGTCAACTGTGTATATTCAGGAACCAGCTTCTACAACAATGCCAACTATATCTTAAGTTCTGGTAAGTCCCTAAGCATGGTCATAGAGAGGCAGATATAACTCCCAGAATTACAGACGGTGAAATATCTGACTATCCTTGCACTATCTTCCTGAGGGTCAAAACGCGCTTACCAGTTGGCTAAAGTGGCATAGTTGGTGAACTTTTATGCTCTCCATATCAGAAGATAGGACTGGGCCCACTGTCAAGGAGATTTTAAAGCAGGTTGAGGAATTCCCCTACATGATAATGAGCATCTTGTCATTGTCACCCAAGATGTCAGACAGCTAATCACAATTGGTGCCAAATTTTTGTCCCATTTATGGCCTCATATATTTATCTGCAAATGTTTCATTCTAACAAACTTTTGAGTTTTTGATAGTGTGGGGAAACATTTCAATTTCTGCTATAGTTATTTCAGTGGGGAGTTTTTTTCCCCAACCTATGTCCCTGAGACACCCAAACAAAAAAATGTGAGATGCAGTTTTTACCAGGATATGAAGGCAGGAAAAGCAATAAAAACATTATCAGAAGTTCCAAATCTTGTACACGCTACTTAAAATGTGCTTGTGTTTTTGTCTGTGCCCCTATTGGAGAGATTTCCCACTATTTCCTGTTCTCGCAGGATATAAGAGAAAGTTTCCTTAAAAGGGACACAGATGGCCATTGATACCTGGCAAAGCCTCTAATTCTTCCCTGCTCTCTCCAAAAGGAAAGTTTTGACTGAAGGTGTGCTTTAAGAAAAGCTTTTTTACATAAAGCAAAATGTAATTTATGTTTACTATCCATTTAAGAGTGAGATTTGAAACTTTCACAGACAGGCTGGAAAAATGATCCCATCTGTTCCATCTTAAAACAGTAACTACATCTTCACCCTTCTAGACTCCTCACGTTAAGATTCAAATTTTGAATTCATGTTTTAGCTAGCATTTTTTGATGACAGGTTAACAGTTAAAATAATTTACCATTTCACAGAAATGAAATCTTAGTACAGGTATGTGACTTTTTTCTACTCGAGCTTTCCAAAGTCTTAAACATGATTTCTGATTGTTTCAGTAATCCCTGAAACTGTGCTCTTTACATGGACTTTGTTCGTGTAAGTCATTTTATACTTAAAGTGCCAAAACTGACTTCTTTTTTATTTTGTAGAGTATATAATAGAATATAACAATAGTATATTGCAAAACACTAATTTAAAAGGACATCACATGTTTGAGATAAACATCTGCATGAATATTTGATAATACAAATAAAATGCCTTTTGTAAATGTGACATTTGTTTACATTATACTAATACCTTAATTTCGAAACAATTAAGTACCAGATGACATCTTTTTAAATTTCTAATTTTCTTACTTGCTAAAAGGAGCACTCATTTCTTTGTGAGGCTGTGCTTTATTGAATAAATACTATAAAAATACAACTATGTTTTTTCAAAAAGAAGAAAATCTGGATGTAAAGTATCGTGTTTAATAAAATGTTATGCAAATGTTTTCAAGACCGAAAAATTTGTAAATTGCTATAAATGTATTTTATCTAAGTAAAAATCAATGCTACTGTGTGAGTTTATTGTGTAAAACATCACAAAAAATAAAGATACGATCTCCAATATATTTTCGTGCTCCCATCTGTAAAATTGTAAGAAAAAAGCTTTAATTTTACAGGATTCATTTACCAAAATCCAGTGATTAATGGTTTTTGGGCAATTTAATTTTTTATTTTTTTTCTTTAAATAATGTTTTAGATTCTTTACTTATATGTAACATATTATATGCTTAACAGTTAATACAGGCTAAACCTATGACATTGGTGTTACTGAACACATCAGAAGCTGAATAGAAAGGTTATCATGTAAAAAGAGACCAGAGAGCTCAATCTGCTAACTGAAAATATAACTATGAAATATAATATGCAATAGTTTATATTTACCTGTCAAAAAAATATATATACTTTTTAACATTTCATTATTTTAGTCTTTACAATCCAAGAAAAGGGAGGAGCTGTATTTCTTTAGAGAAAAGTTAGGTCTCCATTTAGGAGAGCAAACTAAATTGACAACAGTACTCCCTCAAAGATACATTGCAATAAATATTGACACCTTAGGACAGAAAGTGTTACTAGCACTTGAAAAGAGGAAACTACTGCAAC